AGCCGCGAGAGCAGCCGGCCGCAGAGCCCCTCCTCTGTGGTGTCGCTGGAGGACAGCGGCTCCCTCATCTACTGCTACCAGGAGGCCAGCGGTGAGTGGAGGGTGCTGACACGCCTGCCCGAGGAGGCCAACGCCAAGGGCTGCGCCATGTGCGTCCTCCACAACTACCTCTTCCTAGCAGGGGGCATTGCATCGGGCAGCGAGCCCCGGGCCCGCCTTTCAGACAAGGTCTTCTGCTACAACCCCCTCACCGACACCTGGAGCCAGGTGCGGCCCCTGGCTCAGCCCCGCTCGCAGCTCAAGCTGCTGGCCCTGGATGGTTACCTCTACGCCGTGGGCGGCGAGTGCCTCTTCACCGTGGAGAGGTACGACCCACGGGCTGACCGCTGGAGCCCTGTGGCACCCCTGCCCAAGGGCGCTTTTGCTGTGGCTCATGAGGCCACCACCTGCAATGGGGAGATCTATGTGTCGGGAGGCTCCCTCTTCTATCGCCTGCTCAAGTATGACCCCAAGCGTGATGAGTGGCAAGAGTGCCCTTACAACAGCAGCCGCCGGCGCTCTGCTGACATGGTGGCCTTCAAGAGCTTCATCTACCGCTTTGACGTGAGCAGCGGCCGCGGTGGGGAGCAGGGCCCAGGTGGCGGGACTGGTGGTGGTGTCGAAGTTTTCCGGTACAACACGGTGGCCAAGCGCTGGAGCCAGTGTGCCAGCCTGCGGCCCAGCGGTGGCCCCATCCAGCCCTTCCGCTGCGCCCCCTTGGGCAACACCATCTACTGTGTCAACCGGACCGGCACCCTCCGCTTCAGCCTAGCCCAGGACGGCGAGGTGGAAGCGGATGGTGGGCTCAAGGGCACCTTCGACGGGGAGCTTCTTAAAGCTCCCTTGGATGCTAAGGGTGTCCTCCTACCCTTTGTGCTCACCCTGCCCGAGAGGCTGGACAAAACAGGGGACCAGGAAGGCTCCCTCCCGCTGTGAGGTGGCCAGCCTGGCTCTGGCTTCCTGAGTGGGGAGCTGGGCTGCAGCTGTGGGGGACCCACAAACTCCTCCCTACAGAGGGGATGCTCTCTGGCATGTCTGCAGAGAGAAGGGGCTCCCCCTTTCCTCCTCTGCTCCCAAGATGTTGAGCTGGAGCCGTTTGGTTGTGACTCGGTTGTAACTCTTCTCGTGTTTGCTGTGCTTTGCGTGAAAAGCCAAGCACGTGAAAGGAAAAGCTGCTATAAAGGATAATCTCTGGATTATGTTTGTGCCAATTCCCAATCTGAGAAAAACATTTTTACACCTGGATTTCTAAAAAATTCCTGACAACAGTGTTGTAACGGGACTGTTAGTGTTGGTCGTGTGTTTACATGTAGTTGCAATCTGGGCTGGAGCCTTTTCTGCCATTTGTTTTCTTTCTCTCCGAGATGATACTGAGGGATAAACACTGCTGGCAACATAGCTTAGCTGCATTTTTTTTATGTTAAACCAACTATTTCCTGTGTTGGAAAAGTGTAGGAAGAACATCTCCATCGCAGCCTTTCATTTCTGGTGCAATAGATGGTTTAAGGAAGACGTGGCACTGTGCAGTCCCAGGAATTTCAACCACGAATGATTTAACAGATACTGGACTTAAAGTTTTAAGTAACACAAATGCGTGCCACGTGTTTGTATTTGGAAAACACACACACAAAAAAAAAAGGCAAGTTACCTTTTTAAAATGTGGCATATTATAGCAGATATTAAATGTTGATATGTTCTTTATTTGAAAAAGGCAATGATTTCTGTATAAAAAGACATAATTTTATTACCTTTTTTATCAGAGATTTGAAATTACAACAAAAATGAACTGAAGCTGTTCAGACTGCAACCGATTGACATGACCATGTATGCCACTAGAGGTGGGGGAAATATTTTGTACTTCAGCTGCTCTTTAATTAACTGCAGGTCAAGGAAGAAAACCTAAACCAAATGTAAATTCTTTGAAACTGACTGCAGACAGCTTAGATGTTCACTGTATGTTCAGTATCCTGTGGCAAGAGGCTTTTCCAACTTAGTGCAAGACCGTCAGAGGAGGACATGGAAAATTGGAATGCTCTACACACGGTGATTATATTGTGCACTAGCATGATGTTATTTCCCTATCTTTTGGTTGAGAGTGCTTTATTTATTTCGATCTAACGATTGCTGTAATCAATAAGTCCTCGTTAACTGCAGTGCGTGCTGATGGCGTACGCTGTCACTGGGATTCTGAACTGCCCGAGAGCGCTGTTTGCGGAGCAGCATCCTGACGAGACAAAAGCAGACAAAGCTTCTTCCTGCCTGTGGAAAGTCGGACCATACTTTTTGTCATGTTACTCGAACTGGAAAAGCATAAACTGTCAACGCAGACAGGCTGTATTGAAAAGGGCACATGCATTTATTTTATACATTTTATATAAAACAAATCAATAGGCGAGGCAAATGTTTTAGCTTTATGGTAAATCACTGAGAAACCTTTTCTGAAAAAAAGAGCCAGTGTTTTCGCTGTTGGTAATTTAGCCTGGAACTGGCATGGACTGTGGAAGGGAATCGTTTCTACTTAAAGCTCTAGTATAGATTCATATCTTAGAAAGACGTAGGGACTTTACATCAAAGAAAGCAGATCTTTTTTATTAAGATGTTTCTGTTAAACAGGACATTAACGTTCTTATATATTATTGCTAGTTCCAAAGGAAGGCAGCAGGCTCTGTCCTAAGAGACACCGTCTTCACAAAAGAGAGTAGTGAAGTTTATAGATAATTCTTTCCGTCACTTTCATAGTTGTTTTTTTTCCCTTTTCTCCATCTGTCTTGCACAGGATTTTAATGCAGCTGATCTGGTTGGCCATCCTGTAGAAAAGTGATCCAGTCCTAAAAGTTCTTAGCCAAGTGAGCCTGTTCCCTAGTGAGCTAATTAAAGCATCAGCCAGGTAGGGACTGTAGGCCTGTGGAGTGTGATGCTTATCTTAGCCTCAGCACAGGTTGGTGCGGTGGAATTTAATTCCACAGGTGGCACATTCATTAGCGATTCACAAAGAAATTGATTCTTTTCACTGAACGATGGACTCAATTGTCAGACAAGGATCCTTGGAAACGTTGACTCTAAATTAAATTACAGCATTGTAGCTTGAGCAAGAAAGAAAAATTATGTGTCTGCCTTCAGCATCATTTTTATGTTAACTGTAGAAAGTATTTCAAGCTGTGTAGTGAAACACTTAGGTGCATACTTAAACTAATGACATAAGTGCTAGGCCAGATTTTGAATCGGGAACACACGAGGAAATGCCTGTTTTATCTTGCAATACAGTATGATTTCGTAGTTCAAAATATTACGTAGTATAGTTCCTATACTACAGCGTAGTGAGGAATCAAACCAGCTTTTGTATTACTGTTAATTAAGCATTAATTAAGCATTTTCAAAATGCATGAAAATGCTTCTGAATGAGTTTGGGGAAGTCTCCATGGTTTAAGCTGTGAAAATATGCCACAGACTTTCGGGAAAGGATGATACATATCCTTTTCTCCAATATTTGTTGCTGAACACCTTGAAGAAATACATTTGGAAATAATCTTTACAGTAGTAAGCATTCTACGAACCTGCAGTGGTTTATATTTTTGCTAGCTCCTGTTGTTAGAAAAGGTTGAATCAAGTGCTTACCCGCTTTCACTGTTTATGCAGCGTAAGTGAGGGCAGAGTCTGGTCTTCATTAGTAGCTGTCTGTCAAACCTGTTTGCTTTCTACACTCTCTGCATAATCACAGCCTGATGATTGACAACAGAGGCATGTTTCTAGACAGGTTTCCTACTCTGTGGCCTCTGTTTCCTCCCTGGTAAGCCTGAGGCAGGTTTGCTGAGAGTTGTTTTTCCCCCTAGTTATATCTTCAGTGTATCCAAAAAAACCCCACTAAACTCGGGTACTAAAACCAGAATTTAGGTAGACTTTAGGCATTTGAAGACCAAACTTGTCATTTCGGAAGTCTCCAGTTTAATTTAAACTGAGCAACCACTGTCGCTTTGCCGTGCGGAGGTGCTGGGCAGCTCCCCTCCACCCGGTCAGAACTGCTCACCTCTGAGCAGTTACACACCTACCTAGCTACCGCCTCAGCTCTTTTGAGACTAGATGGTGTGATACCCAGAAACCACTGGTGTAATATGGGTTTATAGTACAAACTAAAGGGCCAGGCCACCCTCAAATGGCATTCACATATGCTTTGCTTTTAAACAGAGCTATTTTATAATCTACTAGCCTGAAGGCTACTGCATTTGCATGGGAACATTGAGATATGTGTTTGCTTTCTTAGCCTGCAAGGATTCAATCTCCCACTGCCTGATTGGCAAAGGATTGAAGGACCTTTTGGAGCTAACCCTTGATCTCTAAATACTTACGCATTTTGTATTGTACATTATTTGGCTAAAGATCTCAGAAGTTGTCCAGGTAGGCGAATTCAAACCCTCATCCTCACTGAGTGATCTGAGACTAGCTGGAGAGACATAGTCCTCTCTGCTCTCTTTCTTCTCCATGAATCTCACAGTTACCTTCTCCCACTTTTAATAGAACGTGCAGGTGATAATTTTTCTGCTTCCTTGTCCCTAGAGGAGTGCTGTTTTCAAGGTTATCTGCTAAAGGATCTAGGCTTGAATTCCCTTAAACTCAGTAAGGGCTGAACTCGAGGCCTCCCACTTCGTGTGTTCTCAGATCTAGACGACTAAAAGAAAATTATTGGGACCACCTCCTTCCTATGGCTCTTTTTCGGGGATAAACCTGGTGCAAATCCTCCAAAAACACACATAGGCTCCTGCACACCGTGTTCTGGGTAGCTTCCAGGCTCCAGCTCCTGGATGGGTAATTCAGAACGCATTTAGTATATGTTGGTGCAATTGAGCACATTTTCTTCTGTGGAAAGCTTTTCCAGACAGGCTCTGTATTTTTGGTTGCCAGTCTGAGGCGAGAGACTCCATGCACCATACTGGGAGGCCAAGCAAGTAATTTGGATTCTTCTCAGGGGTGACGCCTTGGTAAAGAGGCGTTGCAGTGCCTAACGTGGAAATGCCTAAAGCCTTCTTCGCATCTAAACTAAATCCCTGCTTCAATAAAGAAACAAGCCTTCTTAGCATGTGCTGATTACAGATGGAACTATTTCCACCTATTTACTGCTTCCATAAAAAGAAATCTTAATCGCAGCAGAGGCATGTGTATAAATTCTGTTTACTCTTGGAAACCAAGTCAAAGGAATAATTGGCAAAAAAATAACCCTATTTGATCAAAACAGGCACTGTTAATCAACACGGGAAGGATGCTAATCATACCCTGTTAATGAATAAAATTGTGCAGTAGCTGACGTAAATTCTGTCCACAAAAAAATTTCTTTGTAAATAAGTACCTGGTAAAATTTAAAGTGATAAAAGAATAAATTATTCACATGAAAGCTGTAACTCTCCTGTGCTGTTTGATTGGCTCTCAGAGTGCTGTATCCTGATGGCCGATATTCACGAGTGGCCTGTTGCTTTCCCTGCTTTACGGTATCTGTTCCATGGACTGCTCCGTAGATGTGTTACCCTTCATTATCACAAAGCTTAACAGGGGTACTGAGGTGGTTTGCTTTGTGTCTGGACTGACGTGTAGTGCTTTCTGCTTGAATGAACCCAGAAGATTTAGACAGAATTGTGTATTTGGGCTTTTTTATTTCAGTAGCACTGCTCCTGGGAAACATAAGAAAGCACAAGAAGGGGAAATGGTGGTACCATTAAGCAGTTGTGGTAACAAGCATTTAATGAATTTCTTTTTTTGTCTGCTGTTATTCTGTGCACCAGATTCACACTGGATTTAACAGAACATCTCTGTGTAGCTATTACCAGTGTGAGCCTGAGTACTATGGTGGCAAATATGTTTTTATTTAAGTATATTTACCGCCTCAGCTCCTACTCTGAGATAATTTAATGCACGTCTGCAATAGTTCCACACATTTAGTAGGTTACTGG